CGCTCTTCATCATCCATGGCACCTCTACTAGACCTGTGTTGCTATGTAATCCTATGTAAATAACACAAAAATGTATTAAAAATATGAACTAAATGATCACTGTTTACTTTTAAATTTATATTCATATCTTAATAGTACTGAAACATTATATTAAGATTTATATATTAAGATATTTTTTACAAAGTCTAATATAAAATAAGTTCCCAAAATTTCTCATATACATAAACTTATTCAATATAAAAATATATAAATGCTAAATAAAAAATTTGCAAAAATCCAATTTAATATGTAATATATTTTAAATAACTAATATTTATCAGTTTTCTTTAATAGTTATTATCAAATCAATACAGACTATATTCTATGATTAAATATGTTAATTATATACATTAAGCTCTTTTGTTATATTTAAAAATGTTAGAACTCATATAACATATTTTTAATAGAATGTTTTCTATTCACAAATTTCTTTCTCTAATAATGATAATAAACAGTTACATGTATAATATAAATAAATCACATGTATAAGTTATATACATAAAAATTAATGATATTTAACAAAACTCAATAAAAAATCATAGAAGTAAATGTGACATAACACAAAATATATAAATTAACTTTGACCTTGACTGTATCCTCAACTTTATATTTTATATTTCTATACTTTTTGAAATAAAACATCATATATTTTCATACATAAGCACTTAAAAATATAAAAAATTATTAACTAAATGTAAACTACATAGTCTCTGACTAAAAATTAGCATTTTTCTTAAAAGTAAATATACTTTTCTAAACATAACAAACAAACCTCTAAAATATTGTAAAACAGCACCAAACGGAAATTCTTTTTATCCATGAATTTTTCGTGAGTAATCAATCATAATTTAAATTAGTTTAATAAATATCACTACTTTAAATATCAAACTTTTAGTAACAGACTATCATATTTTACATTAATGTCTTTAGCATAATCACGTAAAGTTAATAAAATTTGAATTGTTATTCAATTTTCTGTCTATTTTTTATGTTTGGAAACTTTAAAAAATCATTTATAAGTCAAAACTTCGAAATTTATTCGAATTGTTATCGATAATTCATATACAAATGGTGTGCAAAACATATCAATCATTTTCTTACGTGTCAATGCTTAATCCTATAGCCGTATCATAAATTCCCATAGTAATATTATTTTTCATAGAAAAATCTCTATTTCACTTAAAACTGTGTTTCACCGATAATAAAAACACTGACTCGTGTTTGGTCCGAACTCACATAGCTTTTAATCTCTTTACAGTATAGACCTCAGTCAGCTACAGCAGGATGGCGTGCCGCTCGACAATCGGCGGTCATTCCACAGTGGGGAAAACCGAGGCACTATAATCACCGAAAAATGCCACTTTTCATCACCAAAAATCACAAACTGTTCTTGTCACTAGGAGCTGTATCATCACATACGAAACATCGTTTTACCGTTGGATTCCTACATGCACAATTAACTTAGGCTAAATAAGGCAGGGGACAATTTTGTTGGCACGGCCTTTACGGCGACAGTACGCCATTGCTATGTCAGAGTTTGCAGGCTATAAACATACCCGGGCCGCCCGTAACCACGCCGGATCACGTACCTTCCAGTTACTGTTGTCTCCTTAGCAATTTCATGGCGGCTTTGCACGCGGAATTATCGGGATCCTCGTCGAAATTCACACGGCTCATCCAAGTAAACATCTTGTAGTAACAGAAAAAAATGTCACAAGCTGCTTGAACGGAAGAGTACGCAACTGACGAAGCGCTAAAGTCACGGAGTCCGGATGTCGGTACAAAGCCAGAGTGCGCACTCGCTTAGATGCGTATATGTGCTGCCATCATGGTATAATACATGAAAACGCAAAGGAAACATCGATGCACGGAATTGGAAAAAACAGTCACCAATGGTGAATCTCCTAATGCAACACGTGCATTAGCGATTACATAATATGGTTCTAGTTTCATATAAAAATTGTATGAAAAAATAAATTAAATCTTAAGCGATAGAAATAATGTATCGTAATTTGTATTAGAAATAAATATTATCTGGCTTCAGAAAAATATTATATACTTTGATATTTGTTGGGTAAAAGGTAAATTGGTTTATTAATATTTTAATGTTTACTGAATTATTTAAGATTTTATTTAAGTAAAGATAATTCGTAATATTTATGTGTAATCATTAATTAAATTAAAGACAACAGCTGTTATAGTGTATTTTCTTATATATTATCACTAGAACATACAAAGTTGGTACTTATTGTTGAAATGTTACTATAAAATTCAAAATATCGTAGTGCAGAATATTCTTAGATACAATAAATTTGTCGTAATGACGAAACATCTGACGTTCCTTGTTCTTCTAAGAAATTCAGTATGTTTTTAACAACTGAAAAAGATAAATAAATGTTGCATTAATAATGTATGATAACATATTAATGACAAATATTGCTTTTTCGTATAAAATTTTAAGCTTTCATTACAAATATACCTTGTTTATCTTCAGCACTCATAAACATATTTACAATTGAAAAGCGTTTCATTTGACTAAATGATTTCAAAAAATTATTCAAGAGTTCCACATCATTAGATGTGCAAAAATATTGTTCCAAACAATGTAAAATGATACTGAACATATTTCCATCCAATTCATTAGCTAAAACTAATATAGTTTTACTGATTAAAAATTCTATACTGTTGCCACTTCTTATTAAAATACAAACCTGAATTTAATTTGTTAATATCCAATGATCTTAGTAATTGTGCGTACACTTCGAAATCAGTATCATTTTGCAATGATCGCCATACACGCATAAATTCGTACCCGTTTTCGATATTTTGGAAATCCTAAAAAATATTACATTGATTAAAACATTTCTTTTATATAATTAATTATATACCTTTGGAATATATTTTTCCGACTTAGAAGTTATATTTTTATATTTATCTGTCACTTGTATTTCCCTAGGTGATGACATCGTTTGACATTTTTCATTCAAATTACAATTTCGTTCGGTAGATTTATTTAGATTTTTAACATTTGATAATTCCACTTGTTTGTTGTCGGATGTTTTGTTTTTGCTTGCAACTTTTGTATTGTTCTCATTTACAATCGTTCCTTTTGGTTTGGATTCAACATTTACGTAGTTATTATTACTAGATTCACTAGGTAATTCTTCAATAATAACTGAATTAGTGCGTTTAGAAGGTCTTGTAAAAGAAAAAATTGATTTCGGTTTCATGCTTGAAGAATTATTTTTTTCTTGGCATAATTTATATATATTTGTGGAATTATTAGGCTTGTTAGAAGAAGAAACTGAACTTCCAGTCAGTTCAGTGTTTGTTTTGATCACTTTTTTGTCACTTTCAGGTTTCTTTGAAATAACATTTTTTGCCATTTTTTTATTATCGTCCTCGAAGCAGTACTCAGCTTTAATATGTGGCCTTGGTCTTAAATTTTGTGACGGACCCGGTGCCTTGTCACAATAGCATATACAGCTCGATAAATTCAATCTCGATTCAAATTGTGAGAAGTAATTTCTTTTCTCTTCCATTTCATTAAATTTTGATTTTTTATTTATATCTTCCTTTTGTTCTTCTTTGATAGTCATTCTAAAAATATCAGAATGAAATAATTTATATTTACGATATTAAATATTTTTCTTTTATCGTACCTTACTTTTCTAGATTCGCAAGGTTTCCGTAATTTTTTTACACCCGCAATCGCCACTGCATTCGTAGGTTCTAATGTTAAAGCAGCTTCATAATCTGCCAATGCCTAATAAATGTATATATTTTTATTTTATACAAATTTTATAGAAAAAGTTACACCAGAAATTGCCGAATTTCATCTAGATACCTGAGATGATTTTCCAAGATGTTCTAAAGATACAGCTCGTCGAAGAAGGGCCTTGATATTTGTATATTCTACGCTAAGTACCATATTACAATCGGTAAGAGCATTTTCGTATCGTTGAAGTTTAATATCTAAAAAAATATAATTTAATTTTAACGCTTTTTAACAAAATAAATGAAGTTAATATATTTACATGTCATTGCGCGGTTATTGTACGTAATTATGTTCGAATTCATTTTTATGCTAGTATTATAATGCTTTAAAGCTTCCTTGTAATCTCCAACTCTGAATGCTTCATTTCCCTTTTCCCTTTCCTGTTCAGCCATCACATCCACTTCCGTTCCTGTTAGTGCCGCTAATAACAACAAATTTTCATTTTGTTATTATTTTACTATGTACTATTTAAAATAATTAGAGGATTATTTAAATAATTATCGTTCGTGTTACTTCCATTGTTCTCATTTACTTAGTTTTCAATGTTTAGATTCCCTAATTAATTTATATAATATACATATATTGTTTTCTGCACATACATTTATTGATAATAGTTTGTTTTTGAAGTTTCCGTTTGTCAACAATTTCTTTCTGTTTTTGTTGAAATCTTTTTGCTTCAGCCTTTTCTTGTTCAACTCTAATGTCTATTTTGTTTAATTCAGTGTCAACATCGTATTTATCCCAAGCAGAATAATCGCAAAAAGCAGTTCGTTTGTTTTCAGTACCTTTCGAGTTTGTTACAGGATTTTTCTAATTAAATTAAGTGAACAGAATAAAAATGTTTTTAAGTAAAATTACACATTAAATATGATTACATAATTAAATAATGTAATGTGATTGGAGTAATGGTTAAACGTACTTTTGCAGATTCTTCTTTAAATTGTCTGATATCTGGTTGGGGAAGAGAATCTATTATTATGGATTTCCCTTCTTCCAAATCTTTTTCCCGAATTTGCATTTCCGACATCCAATCGTTAATGTCTTTATCAATTTGCTTACATTCGTTTGGTTCTAGCATATCACGTTTAAGAATGGGTTCGGACTTTCTTAAAATTATACTCGTTGGTTTAATAACAGCCAAACGTTGTTCTGCATGTTTTTTTAAATCTGGATAGTATCCTTCTTCACCGGAACTATTAATGAAGCATAAAATAAAAACATATAAATAGAATGTATTAAACATTCAGAATATTTGAAATTATATAGACTGATCAAAATTTATTAAAATTCAGTTTTCAAAAATCCCGCCGATTTGTAATTTCTACTTACCGCAGTATAGTTACTATGCGCTCCAACTTTTTTGCGTTTGTACATTCGGAAATATATTCGTACGAAAGATGCTCAACCGGTATATCATATCGTTCGAGCAACGACTTTTGTCTGGATTTCGTATCACAAATAACGTCTGTATCGTTTTCAACCATTATATCAGGTAAAATACTCTTTGTTGGCAAAAATATTCTTCTGTTAGAACTTAATTAGTTACGTTGCTAGGGGTACACGTATACTAAATTGTCAGCTTCGTGCGGTTTATCCACAAGGTATCTGTATCAAGCTCAATCGATAACACAGGGAGTCTTCTTTATGATGCGTTTCCAACGAAAGATCAACGATGAAAATATAGCAGTATATTCATACTTATTCCATCATTCGTAATACACCATTCGGTATTATACCTAATGTTTTGCTAGTTTAAGACCTGTGTACAAACGATTTAATAGACAGGTAATGAACTATTTAGTATCAGTTGGTCTTAGAATATTTATTAACATGATGTGTATCCTTATTTGATTTAAACACTTAGTATATGATTTTTTGAAAACATATCACCAAAGATTATAATTTCAATTATTGATACATTTAATATTCACATTAAAATTTAATACATATTGTAATTATGTATTTCACGTTATATAATAGCAAAAATTAGTAACAACGTAAATACCATATCAAATTACCTTCGATAAAAAAATTTTTTGCAATTCGATAATGTCAACACGATAATTCGGAGCAGGAAATGTTCTTATAGCCATAAGAGCAAGCGTTTGCGTAGTTACCTGTACTGGCGGACACGCGCTTGCATACTAGCGCTTGCGCATCGGTCTCCGCTTACCTGTTAACACGGCAGTCACCTTGTAGCGTGAAGCGGTACGCCATGCCGTGGTCGAGGCGTGCAGTGGGCACGCTGGAGAGTGTATATTAAACAGTGCGAAGCGCTCAGACTCGAGCATTCGCCGGCGAGCGCTCGGTGAGTTCGGTGTAAAAGTGTTTTCGCGTATCGCGTGTTTGCTCGTTTTCGTTCGCGTATTCTCATCAGTGAATTTCGCCTCGTCTCGTCGCGTATCGTTACGGTAAACAGTATCAAACCTACACGAGCAACGGTGGTCTACATAACGGGAGGCCAAATCGTGAAATTCTTCGTCAAGTAAATTTATTGTCACAAGTGGAATACCAGGTATTTATTCATGCGAATTTTTCTACGTTTCGAATCTTTTTACGTTGGATCGTATCAGATGGCATTATTGAAAGGAAGGAATCAACTTTCTTGTGCAAACACGAGTAGCATCTGTTCGATGTTTAATCATGGTCGACCTTCTGGAGGTCGCATCGATAGCAAATTCAGTGGCTTTTTGTTACACTTGAATTATACCTTAAAATGTATTCAAGATAGCGCTCGTTTGCATGTACGTTGAATATAACCTCTTCTCGCTTGGTATGCCTGCATCATGTAAGACTGTGCGCATCTGTCATCGGGCAGACTCGACATAGGAGCTATCAACGATAAAATATTTAACCTGTAAACGAGCTCGGTCGGTATACGAGTTATTTGTAAAGGAAACGTTAAAGAGTGAGTGTGCGCAGTTCACCGGTCGTTAATAAATAAATACGGAAATACGGTAGACTCGTGCGCGGAACTTCTATAAATATTGAATTTCGGTTTCGTAAAAATAAGGTTATGTTAGAGAAAACTATTGTTATTTCATATTTCGAGACAATGCTAAATGCGATGGATGCTAAAGTGTGTTATCTAATCTACGTGACTTAAAATGGTAAAGAACCGAAACATAAATTTATACACGGCATCATTTACAGGGTCGACACGAAATGTAAATCTTGTAAAAATAATTCGGTAATTGTACGATATGATTTCGCGGTTTGAAAATACGCGGGTATCCGTAGGTATGGTTTTCATGTACGTTAGGTTTCGTGAAATTCTAATACGACTTTTACCAGTGTTCGCGCGCGAAACGGTGATTTGTCAGCGGTTTCGTTCGACAGAAAAAAACGTGCGCCGGAAAAATCGGATAAAAGAAAAAAAATTCGAGCGGCGCGACGCAGGAATTGCAGGAGAGCACGTGGGCGGTGCTTGAAGTCTAGTTCTCCGCGCCTCTCGCTTCCAGTATTCGTCTGCCCGTCCGAGGGAGCGAGTGTTACTCTGATGTTAGCGCTCGCAAGCGCGCGCGCGCCTTCTAGCCTTTTTTCGTAATCCGGACGAGCCCGACGTTGGCGGCGCCAAGCGAGAAGAGAAGATGAGGAGGGAGGCCGTCGACCCGTTATAAATGGAACTAGCAAGACAGCATTTCTTGAATCGTTTCTTGTGTTATTATTCGCAGCGTGTCGGCGCACTAGCCCGCATGTTTGCTCGCGGCGTGACCGGAACGTCGACATCTACCGACATTATTATCACCGTGGTCCAGAGGATGCAGTCGAATTGCGACAACTGTTGAAAGTGAAGTTTTCGAAAGGAAAAAAGAGAAATCGAAGGAGCGAGAAATCGAGAGACAGAAAGTGGCATTTTTGACGACGCGACGAGCGACGATCGCCGCCAGTGTGAAACTCTTGACGCGTGTTATAGTGCCGCGTTTTCAGTGAATGCGAACAACAGTTCGTGAATATCCGCAGAAGGGATGCTGGTGGCGACGCGGTGTACGATTCTGGAAGTTTGGAAACGTGAGAAGTGGACGAAGTTTGAAAGTCGTGTTTCGTTCGTTGCTTGGGCGATAATACACGGCGACTCTCGGTTTCGCGGTTGCATGGTCGTTTAAATTGGCTGTCACAATTCGAGACGCTCTGTGCCGACTTGTTCGCGAGAGGATTGCAACGGTTGAGCTAGTGAATCACATCCGAGAGCGACATTTCGAAAGATCGATGTGTCGTCGGGTCTAAAAAGGTGGCTCTTACTCAACGCCGTTTATCGCGTCATTGGGGAGCGTGCTTGGAATGAACATCGCGTTTTCAACTGCTATGTGAAGTTGTCCCTACAGTTCGAACGTGATTAGTGGATACGTTACAAACGACCGAGTGTCACCGGTTGCTTTGCAATGTGAGTAAATAGAAGCTTCGCGCAGAGACAACCGAAGGACGAATCAAATAGTCACCGGTTGTAGTTCTTCCTCGTTATTTTAAAATCGTTTACTTCGTGTATATGTATCCAAAGGAAATTTTCTCGTTGTTTCCGCAAAAATTGGTAATACTTTTTTATTTGTGAATTTCGACATTTTTATGAAACTATATTCCCCGTGGCTCGCTCAGTGACGTGTTCGTACCTGTAAACGTTTATTACGATTGGTCCCTCGCGTATATGTGCGATGTGAATGGACCTTAATACGGTCGAAACGAAACAAACTGCAGGTAGAGTGAAAAGTAACACGAACAGTGTTAATCGGACAGCATATAATGTGCAAGCGCGGCTCGAGTGACATCTAACATCCACGTCTGATGACAAACGTGAACAGGATCAGGGTGGTCGTCCTCGGCGGCCCCAGAGTCGGAAAATCAGGTAACCTACAAATTTTTTATTTGAATTTTTTAGTTCAGCGCGCGTAGTACAAATTTAGTGGCGCTGCTAGTCGACGCCTAGCAAATATTTTGTACGAAGTAAATTATATATACGTAGTTGCCGCCAAAATGTAGCGTTTAATTATAAAAATACTACTTTTTTCTTTTCTTTTTTCAAAATGTATTCGTAATTTTTTAAAGCGTACGATTTGAAACATAAATGTAGAATAGAAAAGGGAGATATATACAGGTAAGGCGAGTGACGTATTTTACGTATACCAAACTATTTTTGAATAAGAAATACGTTCCAGTGGCATAAAATTTCTTTATTTATTCGCGTTTTCGCCTCTAAATATTATTTGCTTTTCCACTCATCTTAATTTACATATCACGAATACTCGATATCTGTTTCCTTCGCACATAAAAAAGTAACTGTACATTAATTCCATATAATCTCTAAAGACACTTTTATCACAAACTCAGTCGTTTCTACCTTAAACATCGCGAGTCGTACTTTATCAATATAAAATCGGGGACCGATAAATTGCAAACGGCTCTTTTATTATCTTTTTCCAATTAAAGAAAATATTCAGTCTATCAAATATATCGCTAATAAATAAATCAACGTTGTACTGTTATAATGCTATCGAGTATGGCCACTGCCTATTACTTTATTATTACCCGCAGCAGCAATCGAATTCTTGATTTAATCACCATACAATCTGTCCAAGCTGGAGGGCAACAAAAACGTGTATCATTGTATTACGATTATGGGAAAGTACGTCACTGGATACGGATATAAGCGTATCGTAGAGGTATTAATTATAGTGGGCAGTACTAATATTGTGTCGCGTAAAGCGTGTAATTTCTGCACGTCTATCTAATACCGCGGCGACGGATTGAATGAAAGTGCCGTTAAGATGAATACGTATAGTCTTCAGTATAATACGGTGCATTAGTTAGTCGGACAGTCGCGCGACGTGTACAAAGCGATTAAATGAAGGCAATAAGGGTAGTTCAGCGACCCCTGAATTAATCCTATTAATAAGCAGCCACGGAACCGATATCGCCATTGGTATTATTTCGAGGTGTGCATTATTTCGACTAACCTCCAACTAAATAATAGACGATAGGGAACCGCTATCCCTACTCCCGCGCATGCGCAGTGTAACTCGGGTGGGGGAAATTGGGTGATAAACAGCGGAGCTGATAGTTCTTTGTAAAGAACAAAGCAGCGTTCCTTTGCATCGTGGTCGATATCAGGTGATGTTTTATTAGCGAGGTCACGATTAATTGTATACCATTAGGTCTGATTACACGCTATCGAACGCTTTTGGTCTTTTAGAAGAAAGTTTGCTGAATGATTGAAAAAGAGGTTATGTCAGTCTATCGTGTAATTTCACGAGGTCGATGGCCTCGCATCGAGCGTAAAAGTAAACTGCGCGGTTATGCGATAGGTTAGGAATTTCGAAGGTGCTCGGTTGGACACGCGGAATTTTCTATAAAATTGCGATGCCTGTGAATTTTGAAAAATCAGTTGCATCAAGTTGCTCCGAAACTATGTACGAAATTCTCGTCGAGTTTCTGTAGTTACGTATCTTGTCGTATAGTTATTCGAAATTGGTTGGGTAAGCACGTGGAATTTTGTCGAAAGTATGATTTATATGGATTTTGGAAAATCAATTATGCTACCTTGCCTGGTAATCGTTGTTGCGTGTAGTTGCAGCAAGTTTAAAATTACGAAATTATTATGAATTTTTAATGAATTTCTATAGTTATGTTACTGTATCGCCTCCAAATTCGTCTTGGTTCTATATTTTCGATTAATAGATACGTCTTGAGATCATCCAAGATTTTTATCTCGAGTCTGTTGAAATATCGAGAACATTTATGGTATTTAAGTACCTGTATGTTTCTGTAATTAATCAATAACATCTCTCGAATGTTTATCACCTGTTTTTAATGAATGAATTACACTTGTATTTAGGAGAAAGATTTAAGAATAACAATGAGTCACAATTGCGACGTTATGAAGCGATAATAAATTATTTTCAGTCAGAAATGAATTTTGGTATGTTTTGGCGAAATTTTATCAGTTATTATCTAATATCGTATAGGTACCTCTTTAATGAAACTTATTAGAGTCATTGAAACAAGTCCTTTGTGTTAAATTTGATTACACAATTTTATCTACATTTTTTCCTTTAAATGAACAATTCTATTTATTTAGAAAATATATTAGAAACTTATTTTACTTACCTTTGCTCTAGTTATATTTCTGTATAGAGTAATTTTGGTGTATAATTTTTGGGTTAAGAATTTTTATAACCAAATGAGCGAATTTTCTTTTCATATTTTGCCATCTGGATTATTTCTGTGTGTGTTTGATTAAGTATATATCTTATACATTCGTAACCTCCATTTTTCTTTTTTTTACATTTTCTTCCTTGATTTTTTATATATATATCACCTTAACTTTTTTCCATTCTTCCTATTATTTTTATAAAGATCACTTGTATACTTTCACCTACATTAGCTGAACCAAATATATCCTTATTGTTTAAAAAGAATCACTTTCCTTGCTAATTGCATTAATTACATATCATCTCATTAATTACATATACTACCTAATCTATTAATTCGTTTTCATATTTTCCTTTTTATTATTTTCATGAAAGCTATTTTTATGCCTCCATTCATATTGCTTTAACCAAATATATTCCTGTTATTAAGAACGAATCATAAAGAACCATTATCTTTCCTCACAAGTCCATATACTAATTTCACCAAATGTCCTCGTTATCCTGGAAGAGTCTCTTCCTTCTTTAATTATACCAATTATATCAACTAAACTTTCCATAGATCTGTAATTATTTATATTCTTTCTCACGAAATCTATTCTTTCACCTATCTCATGATCATTAAACAGATATTAAATATATCCCACTCACAAAATTGATTCATACTAAAACTACCTAGACTACAGCTATCTATCAAACAGATATCAAACATATCTCATCTATAAAATCTAGTGACACTTCCTCATGTGTATTAAATTTATTAAATAGACATCAAACATATCCCACTCAGAAAATTTACACCTATACCAAACCAATCAAACAGGTAGTAAATATATCCCATCCACAAAATTTATCAACATACTTCACCTAACCTATACCAAATCCTAAAAATTATGCCCTAGTCACAAAATTTATCTATGTTCTCTCACCCATACCAAATCCAGTAAATAGATACTAAATACGACCCGTACACAAAATTTACCACATTCTTCATTATTATATTAAATCCTAAAAAATATACTCTAGTCACAAAATTTACCTATATTCTCTCACCTCCACCAAATCCAGTAAATAGATATTAAATACATCCTGTCCACAAAATTTACTCACATCCTTCATCTATACTCAATCTTAAAAAATATGTCCTAGCCACAAAATTTACTCATATTCCTTCACCTACAGTAAATCCTAAGATCAGGAAAATTCTAGCCTCGTGAATCCAAGATCCATCCTACTCCAAAACAATCGCGTTCGATACTCATGAACCGGTCGGGGTCCGAAAATTGCGTCCCTCAGCATCTTCTTCGTCGTTCTATCGTGGCCAGACGAACGCTTGATCGGAAAGTGGATATTCCCCGGGTCCGGGGGAATCCGTAAAAGTCGTGAGAAGGAGAGGCCGTGTCCTGCTGGGTATAATAAGGACCTCCGTGGACGTTATCGGATATCAAGTGAGGAGAGTGGTCAGCGGGTCGTTGCGAGCCACGAAAAATCCTGCACGGCAGCAGGTTGAGAGATCTGGACATCCGATACATCCGTTCTGTTACCGAGCCACGCTCTCTGTACCCGCCTGGTTCGACCCTGGATGCCGAGTTTACGCACAGACTGTGCCTTTTCCACCCTTATCGGCTTCCGGCGAGACTACGTTTCCATGCTCTCAGCCCAGCAAACAACGGATTGGAATCGTTCCACCGTCAGGTGGCGACCGATTTTTCCGTTCCACCTTGTTAGACCACTGGCTCCAGTTTTTATTCGTCTGGCTACATTTTTAATTGGACCTGTTACAGGCGCTGGGTGTCTTAATTGGACTTACGTAATTGTGAAACGTATCTCCGAGATGCGAGACACCAGGCCTGTGTCTTTGAACTGGTTAGAGGATTTTGAGGATTCCTGTTGAGATACTTGGTGCTCTCGGACATTTCATCTATTTTAGCGTCGAATAAACATGAACCAGACAGTCCTGGTTCCAGAACAGCAACTAAAGCTTCGTATTTGAATGGTAATTCTTTATTTTGGGAAATCCAAGCTTCAAACTGTGAATTAGAATTGTTCAATTTTGAATTTTGAATAAATTAAATAGATTATAAATATTTATAACAATTGCAGAATTGAAATTTTAAATTAGGATTTAAAATGTTAAGTATCAAAGTGGTTACATAAATTTTATAAAATTGGAATTTTAATATTACCTTCAGAATCAGAATTATTTATACTTTGATCATAGTTCTCGTTGGTCTTTTAATTATTCTCGTAGCTAATTAGCTTCATTTGCGAGGATTTAATACTCTACATCAATGTCGAGACCTCTCGTGGCCTAGTTAAAGGATCCAGTATAATAGAAGCAGAGTGTATTTTCATAGAACTCTAATTCCAATTCCTATTTTCATTCTGAAAACTATGGATTAATAAATAGAAATTATTTATATAAAAGAGATAAAAGTATTGACAAAAGTGTTTTATGAAGTTATATTTAAGTTATATTAAGTTTTATGAAGTATATTTAATTACAATGAAATGCTTTTATATATGTCTATAAATATTTATTAAATAGTTGTTCAAAGAAGTATGTTCGTTCATCAAATGAAAGTTTCAGCTTTGGTAAGCATCGTTGGTTACTGGCGATGTGTCTCTACCGATTTATATTTGTTTCAAGTGATGCAGGTTTAGTTATTTTATTGGATCAGGGAAAACTGGATAAGAGTTA